GTCCTGCCATACCAGGGACCTCAGTGTTCTCCATGAGGTGACAGCAGAGGAGGTCTCCTGGGAAGTGTCCGGAGAGCTTAGAGGAGCTCAATGGCTACCTGTGGTCCTCTTCCTGGTGGAGAGCTTGGGCGACAGGGCGCCACCTTGTGGAGGGAGCAGGCACTGCAGAGCGGGACCATTTCTCTTACCTTTTCCATGCAATTTTTACTCAGTCTGTGGACCTTGCAGGTGATTCAGGCTTGTTCTTGTTTGTTGTTTTCAAGGTTTCTGGCTGAACTTTCTACAGGGGGTGGTGACACCCCTTGCTGCTCCCCTGCCAGCCATTCTCAACGCCTCCCTTTTATTTGACTCTAGTCATTATTTGATACCCAGGACACTGTGTTACCATGACCGCTGCTCTTTCACATTTGCACCTTTGCCTTGGATCCCTCACTGTCCCCGCTCTGACTCCCACTCATTCGCCTTCAGGCCCTGCCCAAGTCTTGCGCATTTTTTGGAAATGTGTGTTCTTTCTGAACGCCTCCCACCTGCCTGTCTGAAGCCTGAATTGTCCGAATCCTAGTTCCCAGGGCTTGCTTTCCCTTGCCTTTGCCCACGGATACTTGGATGCTCTTCTGTCACCTCCAGCTCAGTGGGTCTCAAAGCTGCCTTCCGTATGTAGCACGCCCAGTCCCCCGGCTCTGTCAGTGCCCTGGCATCCCCGTCAGAGCACATGCACCTCTGCCCGCCTCCTCAGACACTGTTGTAGGGCACCGCAGTTGCCTTCTGCTAGCTCTTGGTTTTAATATTTAAGTGCAGTTTATCTACAGCAGAATGTGTTGGTCTTAACATACACCATTCAGTTAATTTTGAAAAATGCCTTCCCTCCTGTGGCCAACACCTGTCAGAGCATAGAGCCTCTCCTTCAATCACCCCTGAAAGATCTGTCCTGCTCCTCTCCCAGAAGCGTTTGCTGTTTGGAGGCCAGGCACAACAAAAACAGGTTTTCTTTAGAGTGTCACATAAAGGTATCCACATAACACAGTTTGCATCCTTTTTGTTGGTTTGTTTACGAGGTGCGTGCCTGTTGTAGCAGTCAGTGGTTCATTCCTTCTTACTGCTAAGTAGCATTCAGTGCTCTGAGATATAAATTCTGTTGATGGACACCCAAGCTGTTTTTAGTTTGGGGCTATTTCTCATGAAACTTTAGGTGGACATGTTTTAATTTTCTTGGATAAATACCTAGGAGTGGAGATAATATGATAAACTTAGGTTTAAACTTATATAAGCAGAACCAGCCAAGTGCTGAGTCATCAGGAGCCCGTGTGAGTTCTGGGCTGTCAGCATCACCACCAGTGTTCAGTGTTGCTGTTTGAAAGTCATTTCTGTTCACGTGTGGTGATATCTCATTGCGGCTTTAATTTTCGTTTCTCTGTTGACTGATGATGTTGAATTCTTTCAGCATTGGTTGTTCAAGTCTTCTCATTTTTAAAACTTGGATTTTTTGGGTCATTTTATTATTGAGTTCTAGGAATTGTTTATATATTCTGCATGAAAGTTCTTTGTTCAGTACATACGTCAAGAATGTCTTTGGCTTCCCAATTTATTTTCCGACAGTGCCTTTTAATTTGTAAAATTTTAAACTTTTGATTATCAACTTTTAATTAGGACTTTCTGGGTCCTAGGAAATCTTGCTGCATCCTAGTTACAAATATCTCTTAAATTTCTTCCAGGACCTTTTTAGCATTAGCTTTCGTATGTAGCTGTGTGACTTGCCTGAATTAAGTTTGGCATATCATGCTCTGTAGCTGTCCAAGATTTTCCTCTTCTGCCTCATGTGGATGGGGAGTCTCACTATCCCCTCTGTTGGAAAGAATGTACTTGTTCTGAAGAGATAGCTTGTTAAGTTCACTTGGCAAAAATATTGTGGGACCATTCTGGACTCTGACAGAAATATTTTAAGAACTCAAGATTTTTCTTTGAGAGATGTTTGCTGTTCAGAACTCCCTACCCACTCCACACCTGGCAGCAGTGAGCAGCCCTCGTTCTCAGGCCACGGTTTCTCTATACCATCACTAATTAAAAGTGAAACAGAGCACAACTGAGTGGCTCCGAGCAGAAGTGGCTAAGGCCCATCCAGGACAGGAATTCTGGCATTTTGTCATAGCAGAAGCAATGGCTCTTTCAAGGGGCTCTCGTGCCATAGATGGGGACATTGAGCATAAAAAGGGTAATAACGGAAACAAATTAAGTCCTGTAAGATATATTACGTAAAAATCCATGGTGCTCAGAGCAGTGCTCCAAAATGAACTTACTGGTGACTTGTGGTTCCCTACCCGCCCCACTTTTGTCTTCACTGGGGTAGTTGCTGATGCTCCCCAGTCATTGTTCTGGAGACTGGGAAAGGGTAGCACAGATTAAACGTTGATCTTGCTTTTACTTCCCGAACTGTACCTATGATAACCAAGGAGCTGATAGGGAAAGAACTTGTTGTGGAAGAAAAGCAGCTCAAGACATACAGAAGATAGAATTTGAAGATGGCTCTGTTGCCATAGCTAATGACATCGTGGCACCAGACAGGGGACAGCACATTGGATGGGGCCTCTGTAATGGGAAGGTTAGACTGAAAATCCTGAGAGCAGGACCAGCTTTAGTGGTCTGTCCTTCCAGGTAGGATGGAACAGGAAATACAGCAAATCCACCGCAGTGGCCGTTGCCTTGCGTTAAGTCTCTAGGTCTGACGACTGCTTTCCAGGGCTCTCACAAGACACAGGAACAGTGCTCTGAGGACTTCTGCGAGAAAAATGCTGTCATCTTTCCAGAGCCAGGCGAAGGAGCCGTTGTGGGTAGGGAAGGGTGCTTACAGGTGAAAGGAGCTCGAGGTCCACACTGACAAGATGTGTGGACCCGATTCACGTCCTAACTCGAGGAAAATGATGGCGAAGAGGACAGTTTTGAGACAGCTGGAGAGGTTTGAACAAAGCCTGTAGGTTGAGCATGTTAGAAAATGTTCATTTTATAAGTGGTAATGGCAGTGTAGCTAAGAAAGTATCTTTAGGCTGTGTAGAAGAATTTCAAGAAGAAACAGGATGTGTGGTGTTTGCCTTAAAATACTTTGAAAAAAGGCACAGAGAAAACAAGATTGAGAGAACATTAGTAACTGTCGGGAAGAGCGGAGGGGAGTTCCTTTTACTGAACTGTCTCAGGATTTCGTTGTTTTTCTAAAAATAAATTTAGACCAAAACACATGCATTTGGCCCTGAAATGAGCATTCCAGCTCCGAAGCACTCTGGGAATCTGGAGACGGGTCTGGGAGAATCCTCTCGTGGGCTTTGCAGGTGCTGTCTCTCTGGCGGGAAATGCCTGTGCCCGACACTTCATCTCTGATGGCACCCGTGCACCTTCTCTGGGGCTGGCGGCTTCCGTGGGGACAGAGCCTGGCACCTGTGCCGCTCTTTCCCCACTGGCTGTCAGGGAAGACTTCCCAGCCCAGCAGGGCTTTGACTGCGTTCTTTGCTCCCGGGTGAGGGCCACAGGAAGCATTGCTGGCTGCCAGCTGCTTGCTCCAAGTCAGACAGGGTGCGCATGGCTGCGGGGCCTCCTGACGGCCATGCCCTGCTCTGCCGTCTGCAGCATGCCTGCGCCCGCCCGCCTGCACACAGTCCTCACAGCCGTCGGGACTGCAGAGGGGAGGCTCGCCTCTCGCAGCGTGTTTCCCAGCCTTGCTGTCCTTTCGCAGCCGCGGGGCCCAAGTGCCAGTTCCCAGTGTGCACATGAGCGACACATTGTACCCAGAGGACAGTGCCTGGGCTGGCGCCTGCCAGAATAATCACCTTCCTGCACCCTGTGTCGTGATGATATGTGCTTTACAGGCCTTGCCATTTGGTAGGGAAATTTTGATGAGGATTCACTCTGCTTTCCCTTTCTCTTCAAGTATGTTTATCTTCTGCCTTGGACTCTGGCTTTTTAAGCTCCTTGGCAGTTGTGCCACTTTGCTGGCATTTGCCGCAAGAAGTGAAGCTTGGAACAGTGCCTCTTTGACTTTCGTGTGTCTACCTTCAGTGACAAAACTAGTTACCTGTAATCAAGAGTATCCTGCGCTTGTCGGGAGGTCCCCACCCGGTACTGACCCGAGGCCAGGACGGAGGGGTGCAGGTCCCACCCACCCAGTCCCCTGTCCCAGTCATGCTGCTCTGCCTTGCTTCCTTCCATCTGCTTGGGTGACCATTTGTCTTTAAACATTCACTTTTTTTAAGAATGTTTGGATTCACTCCGCACTGGTGCCCAGGATCCTGTTCATCATTTAGGCTTAGTGCATCATTTCATTTCATTTCATGTTTAGAGCTTCAGAGGACCCTGCTAAATAATAGTAGCTATGAAACTGCCAGATTAAACCTGAACAGTAATGGCCCCCAAATGTGAAAATATATTTGTTGTGGCAGACTACACTGAACTAAAAGTTGATGAAGACCAAATGCACTATTAATGAGTTTTCAGACAAAATGATAGGAGCTAGCAATTTCTAAATTTCTTAAAAATCATAATCCTATGTTGCTGAAATGCACGAGAAAAATTATTGTTATGTTATTCTCTGAAACAATCTGTAGACCCATGAGACACCAGATGTGGTCCACCAGTGGTAAAAGGGAGAAAACAGCTTTCCAGGAGGGGACCCGGGAACATGGAGTTTGGGTATCACGTGGTTCTCCCAGCAGCAGGGAGTCCTTGGATCCCGGGCAGCCAGCCCCTTAGGATCCTGTTCCTCAGAGTGTAATTTTGGGAGCCTCACATCAAAAGCAGGTGGGACGGCTCTTCCTCTTGCTCCTTGGCCTGCTCCCGGCCCCTGAGCAGACTCCGAGCCTGCACGATGAACAGCTTCCCCAGTGACACCGGCCAGAGCGCAGCTTGGGTACTTTGAGGAGCTCGTGCCTCGTGGAGCACGGGCGCCTCTCCGTTGGGTTCATGGGATGCATTCTTTTCCTGATTTTATGATGCCCCATGTTCCTCTCTTTTTCCCTCAGGACTCGTGCATCACGTCTGTAACCTGTTCACTGCGGCCGCCACGCTCTGCTTGGATGTGGACGACAAGCCCAGCACTGAGGTGGCAGCCACCCTGCTGTTCTCGCTGCTGGACATTCTGCACGGCATGCTGACCTACATGTCTGGTGTCGTGCGGCTGGCCCTGCAGGTGAGGGGCTCCCTGTGTCACGCTCCCCGTCACCCTCCATTGTCCTCTGAGGTGTCTCTTTCTTTTAAAAGAGTGTATCACTCTGTACCTAAGTCTAGCAGCATCTGGGGTGACCAGTGCTAGGCACGGAGAATGTGGAAGCACTCGCTCGTCCTTGTACCTGGGCCGTGAGATCTGCCTCACGCTGTGGGCATGGTGACTGTGGGGACTCGGGGAGGGTCTGACTAAACTGGCCAGGGCCATGTCGTGGCCAGCAGGGTGTCCTTCAGGCTGGCTAGGGCTGCCGCAGATGCCGCCCTCTGCACTCCGGCTCAGGGAGCAGGGAGGAGCAGCGTTAGTCCTGGGCCTTTCCTGCTAGGAAGTCAGCTGTGACCTGTGATCTCCTGTAGCACGTGCCGCATTGCCGTTTAGTGCTGCATGTGGCTCACAGGGTTAAATGCAACATCCTGGGTTTTACACATCTGACTGATATGTTTATGTTTCCACGCGGAGCTCTGCCTGAGACTTGTGACTCCACCTGTGGCTTGCTCTGCCTGGCTACAGATGCCCTTGGCCAGAGCTGAGCCCGGACGCCAGCCCCGCCCCTCGGCCTGCCCTGCTGACCCTAACCCTGAGTCATCCTTGACAGTGTCCTGTGTTCCATACTTTGTGTCTAATGGTCACCTTAAATGACCCATCTCAAAACCTCCCCTGGGCAGCCTCAGTGATGTCCTGTGAGGGCTTCGAGCAGTGGGGAACCAGGACGGGGCTGGGCAGAAGTGGCTGTGTATCCTGGAGTCCGGAGCCCTGGGCAAGTTGCACCCAGAGGGCACTGACCTGGGAGGCGTGCTGAGCAGGAGGTGGGAGGCACGGGGGCCGGCTGGGCCTCTGCTCTGCCTTGGTGCCTCCTGAGATGTCATGCAGAGGTCCCCTGGCTGCGCGGTGCCCCTGTGGCCGATGCTGTGTGAAGAGTGGGTTTTTGATGCCTTCTCCAGCGTGCCTCCCTTCTCGTCCAGCTGGAGCCCCAGGCTGGGGGGCAGGTGTCAGTTCAAATCACACTTTGGTGGTCTGGGCACCTGTCCTGGGGGAAGCCCCAGGCTTGTTCTGCTCTGCTGCTGAGAGTTGGGAGGAAGCCACGAGGCCTGGAGTTACGGGCCTGCATGTTCTGGGTGCTTGGGTCCGGGCGAGTTAAGTAAAAGAGCCCCTTGCCCTCGCTAGGCCTGCCAAGGAGGCCGGGGAACCGCAGCCGAGACGCAGGAAGGCCCGGGCCTCTGGGACAGTGCGGCGCTGAGGGTTCTCGCCATTGCCCCCTGAGCCGTAGAGACCCGGGGTGCCCAGGGACAGGCAGTCAGGCCAAGTCCTCTGAACCTCAGAAAGCAGCAGCTGCGGTTCTGTGCCTGACCTGAAGTGTCCTTGCAAGCCAGCTTTCCTGAGAAAGCCCTGGGTCCCGCTGAGACCTGAGGAGGCCAGTCGGGGAGGTCATTACTGCAAGCAGACTTGGGGAAGAGAGCGGGCCTGTGTGCGTCCCGAGCAGGCACAGGTCTCAGTCTAAATAAAGCCTCTGTCTCCTCCGCACTGAGGTCAGCGTTGCTGTGAAACCCTGGGGGTGGGGTGTCCCTGAGGACCCTTACTCCTCCCATTTCCCGAAGCACCAGCCACTGTGCCAGGGGAAGGCACGCACATCAGAAACCTGTCCACACAGTGGGCGTGGATCCCGAGTGTGTGCGCGCGCAAGCACGGCAGCGGGATGTGGCGTGTGTTCCCTCGTGTGCAGGAATCACCCAGAGATCTCCATTTGTGGATTGGAGTCTGATTGGATCTCCTGGCATGCTCACCCACTGCCGTGGGCCTTCCCTGCACCGTGGGCTCATGTGCCCACCCAGTGCTGCAGGGCAGCTGGGGAGAAGACGCCTGGCTGAAGCTTCCGGCACAGCTCTGCCACCACCTCATCCGGGCTGGGGCCGTGCAGGGCTGAGCTGCTGTCTGCCATCCTGGGCCCATGCCTGCCCTCGGGCACCGCAGCTCCTGCCACCTCATCGCTCACCTGCTGGGTCCCCGAGCCAGGCCCACTGATCCCAGGTCCCCATGCTCTTCTGTCGCAGGCGCAGAAGTCCAGTTCGGGAGGAGACACGCAGGCTGCGGAAGACCTGCTGCTGCTGGGCAAGCCCCTGACAGCCCTGGCTGGCCTGCTCATCCGGCTGGTGAGTCTGAGCACCCGCAGCTAGAGCACGGGGCCGGAGGAATGGCATGGGATTTCACGAGCCCCCAGTTTCAGTATGAGTTTAATTTCCTTCAAGATTACAACCAAAAGAACTTTTGACATGTTTGGCCTGGAAACACTATTTCTAATTTATTTGAAACCGGGAAACTCATTCATTTTGATGGATACTGAAGTAAGGCAGAGTCTCAAAACCAGTTGCTCCCTTAAGGAATGTGAGGCTTCCAGGAGGCAGGAAGTAGTCCTTAGAAGAGTCTGCTCCCTTTCACAGAAACCCTAGCATTGTGCTTGGTGCTGGATTCTCCCCAGTGCAGGCACTGCGCACAGAGGCAGACAGACGGGAAGGAGATGCGCAGGATCTCGGATGTGCAAAGCTGCCCCATAGGAGCCAGAGTTTGGACCAAATGTGAAGATGAGGGCAAGAGGCAGGGCCAGGCAGCACCTTGGGCTGGAAGGCTGTAGGGCTTGGCTTTTCCTGCCCTTGGCTCTGGGGAGGGCGTGGGCAGTTTTCCTGAAGAGTACTGTGGGCTTCATTGTGTCCAGAAAGTGAAGGTTTGGTTCACATGAGTGAGGGAGAAAAGTATCACTGCTCTTCCCGGCACTCAGAGGCTGAGACAGCCTGGGCCACCTCGTGAGTTCAAGGCCATCCTGAACTACAGAGCGGTCACCCCTGGGTTATAGTACACAAGAAAGCAGGCTCCCTGTGTGCTGTGGGCTGGACACGCCCTCCCAGGGCAGGGGTCCTGATCACCGGGCGGGCCGGAGAATGAACACAGGCTCCCCCGGGCACACAGTGCCACACGGAGTTTACACAGAAGCCGCAGACTGGGGTGCTGTGCTGGGCTGGCTGCAGTTGGGACTTCTGTTGGGACTTACCAGTCTCGGTCTTGCCATCTTACTCTGTTCTCTTTCTAACTGTGGTTGAATGAGCATAGGAGGTATAAAATCATTACAAAAGCTGCTGAAAGGACAAAGGAAGGATCTTATCATGGTGAAGAATAAAATCTGCAGGAAGTTACAACTGTGTGAAACATCCAAGTGTGGAGCTTGTCTGTAAAGAGGAGGAGAAACCCAGGACAGCGGTCCTGAGAGCAAGGCTGGAGAGCAGGGCCGGCCCAGCGGCCAAGTCTAGCTGCTGCTTTTTGAAAAACCCCTTTAGAAGGAAATTGGCCCCCTCAGTGTTGGTGTTCCGGAGCAGAGCCCTGGAGTTCACTCTGGGGAGCTGGCACTGCGTGTAACATACCTTGGGTGTTTCTGTCCCTTTTGCCCTGCCTTCTCTTCCTCCCACCTGATCTACTTCCTCATCTCCAAGAGTCTTATTTTTTATTATTTATTGTTAATTACTCATTAATTTATTTATATATAGGTTTCTCATATAAGAGAAAACATTCAATGTTTAACTTTCTGAGCCTGGCTTATTTCCCTTAGCGTGATGGTCTCAAGTTCCAACGGTTTTCCTGCAAATGCCATGAGCAAGCTGCTGCTTTGTGTCTGAGTAATACTCCACGATGCATAGTGTCACAGTTTCTTATCCGTTCGCCATCGCTGGGTGTCTGGGTTGTTCCAGAGCTTCGCTGTTTTGGTGAATTATGCAGCTATAAATGTGGATATGCATGATGTGCTACAGAATAACAACTTCAGTTCTTTTGGGAATATACCCAGGAGAAGTACAAAACTGCTTCAAGTGATACTCGATTTTTAGTTAAAAAGAGCTCCATACTGATCTGCAAGGTAGTTGTACTAGTTTATATTCCCATGAGTAGTGCACTTGGGTTCCTTTGCTTTCCTGCATTGTGTGTGTGTGTGTGTGTGTGTGTGTGTGTGTGTGTGTGTGTGTGTGTGTTGGTGCTGCGCAT